ATTCCAAGTGATTGGATCTATATGTTCATCCTGATAGGAAATAGTATATGAAAATAAATGATTTTCATCGAATAGTTGACTGTATTTTCGTGTGAAGAAGGCTTTTGGATTCTAGTGTGAGTTTAACATATAGCAGGCTCTCTTAGTTGGCCAAATAATGTAAAGAAGCATAAAGCTTTTCTTTTGGGTTGGATTATAAATTAATTTGTGAGTTACTCCGGGATAAGGTTATTGCGAACAATTCCTCAGCTCCTTTTTTGGCAGTCATTGTACTTACTCTTAGGTTTTCTATTGAATTATTGTGACTCAAAAATCGGAAATATTTAATTGATGAACAATTACGTAATCCCAAGTTGTTAATTGATGAACAATTACTTAATCCCAAGTTTACTAATACAGTGGTTTAAGAGTAAGTGTAGGGCATGGGCATATTTGAGAATTTTTGTTGGCCTGCTGTTAATACTAACAAGAGTCCTTTTATGTTGTGAGCAATTTGAATAGCATTGAGGACCATATTTTTTTCGTTTGTGAAAGACCATAATAGGATTGATGCCAAAAATAAGTTCTATTTCTGCTGCAGGACACGCCTTGCTGCAGCAGCGGCAGTTTCAATTCCAGCCGCTNATGATGGTCCAAGGTAATTGTAAAACATGATAATAGGCACCTTAGTAGTTTGATTTCAAGCTCTCAACTTCAAGTTCAGTCTTTAATCTAACGTGTCTCAGTCGAATTTGATAATCATAGCAGTCATTAAGAATTTTCTTTTAGTTTTGAATTTCTAGTTGTTTGTTCCTTTTTCTTCATTAGAGGTTCCTAATTCGTTTTTTTATTAGTAGTTATATATTTGAGAGACATAACTGAAGTTCTATTTATGGTAATCGGAAAAAGACAACAAAAGCGTTCTTTATAACTTTAAGACTTTAAGGGTTCCGTCACATTCATCTGCAGCAAAGTGGTAACCCCAATTCACATGGAAGAATTTTTTTTCAGTATTACTGCATATTCGTTAATATTCCAAGTGATTGGATCTATATGTTCATCCTGATAGGAAATAGTATATGAAAATAAATGATTTTCATCGAATAGTTGACTGTATTTTCGTGTGAAGAAGGCTTTTGGATTCTAGTGTGAGTTTAACATATAGCAGGCTCTCTTAGTTGGCCAAATAATGTAAAGAAGCATAAAGCTTTTCTTTTGGGTTGGATTATAAATTAATTTGTGAGTTACTCCGGGATAAGGTTATTGCGAACAATTCCTCAGCTCCTTTTTTGGCAGTCATTGTACTTACTCTTAGGTTTTCTATTGAATTATTGTGACTCAAAAATCGGAAATATTTAATTGATGAACAATTACGTAATCCCAAGTTGTTAATTGATGAACAATTACTTAATCCCAAGTTTACTAATACAGTGGTTTAAGAGTAAGTGTAGGGCATGGGCATATTTGAGAATTTTTGTTGGCCTGCTGTTAATACTAACAAGAGTCCTTTTATGTTGTGAGCAATTTGAATAGCATTGAGGACCATATTTTTTTCGTTTGTGAAAGACCATAATAGGATTGATGCCAAAAATAAGTTCTATTTCTGCTGCAGGACACGCCTTGCTGCAGCAGCGGCAGTTTCAATTCCAGCCGCTATGGATTTAGACATACCAGTAGATCCAAATGAACCGACTTACTGTTTCTGCAACCAAGTGAGCTATGGAGAGATGGTTGCCTGCGACAATCCTGATGTATGCATTTATGTTCTTTCATTATTTTCGATCAGTTGAGTATACTAACCCTGTGATCTAAGGAAAGCATCTGGTCTTTTGCAACAGTGCAAGATAGAATGGTTCCATTATGGCTGCGTTGGTCTGAAAGAACAGCCCAAGGGAAAGTGGTATTGTTCAGATTGTGTTGGAGTAAAGAACCGTCGGAAGAGCAAATAATGGTGGGCTTCATTTTCAGGAACCATTGCTTAACGGATGTTAAGAATCACTCAACAGTGGCATCATGTTCTATGTTTTCCGAAGAATGCCTCATGTAAATAACTGGAATGTGTTCGGTTGACGCATCTTTTCATTGCACCTTTATAGTTCACCTTGGATACTTATATTTTCTATAATTACTGTTGGTGGAAATTCTCTTGCTGATACAGTTGCTATAATAGGCATGAATGGGTCACTAAAATTTCTTAGTTTCATATTGATTACCTATCATATTTGGGATTCCATTAAAGATAGAATTCTTGTGTATTTGGTATGCCTATTTTATCAGGAATGTTTACAGGTCACTTTCCGGATTTCAGCCTCTCAGTCCTTAACCCTTTGCTGGTTAGATAAAAGTAAGTACCAAGGCGCTTCCCAGATTTCATCCTCCCAGTGTCGGTCACTTTCCAGATTGCAGCCTCCCAGTCCGATCGGTCATTTCCCCGATTTCATCCTCCCAAAGACCTCTCTCCCTTTCATTCTGGGCTGGATTGTCGACCAATTGGTATATCCAGTTAAAACTTGTATGTGCCATTAACAGATTGAGACTATTCGTTAAATCCCAGGCAGGCTTGGCTGATCTAACACTTGCTATCTCTTTGCTAACATAATAGACGCCCAAACATGGGTCTGTGGCGTTCCCTGAAAAGCTTTTTGAGATTTCATTGTGTTCCTCCAAAAGTTTCAAATTATATCAATCTTCACCTAGGACTGTCAATTGAGTTGAATTTTGCAAGTTGGAACTCGAATCTATAAAACTCATTTTTTAGCAATTCAATAGGTACTTAATTTGAGAACTTAATTTGGTGACCTCATGATGTGATTTAAATGCAATAATTGATTGACATTAGAACTCGTTCCTACTCCAATAGTTATATTGAATTAGATTTTTATACTAAGGTCCACAAATAAAGTCTAAATAACATTTTTTTTAAACATTTAAAATATTGTTTAAGTTTATTTTGTTTAAAAAATGAGCTAAGTTGAGCATGAGCTAAACCTGAGAGTTTTACTATTTTACATATATGCAAATCGAGTTTTACGAATTTAAATTAAGTCTTTTAGACTTATTTTTTTAAACAAATCTAAAAAATTATTCAAACTTGATTTAATTTATTTAGAATACGAGTTTAACTTGAACCAAGTTCTATCCAAACTCAAGCCGAGTAACTCTGATTAGTTAACAGCCCTATCTCAAAGTTTAGATGCATTAACCACACAAGTTGATAATTTCTGCTGTTCATATAAAAGGGTTTTTACAGGTGATNCCTGCGACAATCCTGATGTATGCATTTATGTTCTTTCATTATTTTCGATCAGTTGAGTATACTAACCCTGTGATCTAAGGAAAGCATCTGGTCTTTTGCAACAGTGCAAGATAGAATGGTTCCATTATGGCTGCGTTGGTCTGAAAGAACAGCCCAAGGGAAAGTGGTNTTATTTATCTGCATAGGGTCAAATAATATTCTAGAAAATGGGTCAATGGGACACAATGGGAAAGATGCCACAATTTTGAAACAATGAGAACAAGAACGAATAAATTTTGATTCATCCCCAAAAGGGTCTGAAAATTATTTAAAACCATCACCCTGTCAAAGGATTGGCGAAAGGACGACTTCAAAGAAATAAGGCTTCAATGGTTAATAACTCGAGATTCTAAATTCAAATCTTTTAGTTGGCTCANAGTTTCATATTGATTACCTATCATATTTGGGATTCCATTAAAGATAGAATTCTTGTGTATTTGGTATGCCTATTTTATCAGGAATGTTTACAGGTCACTTTCCGGATTTCAGCCTCTCAGTCCTTAACCCTTTGCTGGTTAGATAAAAGTAAGTACCAAGGCGCTTCCCAGATTTCATCCTCCCAGTGTCGGTCACTTTCCAGATTGCAGCCTCCCAGTCCGATCGGTCATTTCCCCGATTTCATCCTCCCAAAGACCTCTCTCCCTTTCATTCTGGGCTGGATTGTCGACCAATTGGTATATCCAGTTAAAACTTGTATGTGCCATTAACAGATTGAGACTATTCGTTAAATCCCAGGCAGGCTTGGCTGATCTTACACTTGCTATCTCTTTGCTAACATAATAGACGCCCAAACATGGGTCTGTGGCGATTCCTGAAAAGCTTTTTTAGATTTCATTGTGTTCTTCCGAAAGTTTCAAATTATATCAATTTTAATCTAGGACTGTTAATCGAGTTAAGCTTTGTAAGTTGGAACTCAAATTTATAAAACTCATTTTTTAGCAATACAATAGGTACTTAATTTGGTGACCTCATGATGTGACTTTAATGCAATAATTGATTGACATTAGAACTCACTATTACTCCAACAGTTATATTGAATTAGATTTCTATATTAAGGTCCACAAATTAGGTCCAAATAACATTTTTTTTAAACAAATTTAAAATATTGTTTAAGTTTATTTTGTTTAGAAAATGAGTTGAGTTGAATTTGAGCTAAACCTGAGAGTTTTACTATTTTACATATAAGCAAGCCGACTTTTACGAATTTAAACTAAGTCTTTTAGACTTATTTTTTTAAACAAATCTAAAAAATTATTCAAATTTAATTTGATTTGTTTAGAACACGAGTTTAACTTGAACCAAGTTCTATCCAAACTCGAGCTGAGTAACTCAGATCAGTTAACAGCCCTATCTCAAAGTTTAGATGCATTAACCACACAAGTTGATAATTTCTGATGAAAGTAGAAATTGTTCAATCAACCCAATTCATATAACAGGGTTTTTAGAGGTGTTTATTTATCTGCATAGGGTCAAATAATATTCTAGAAAATGGGTCAATGGGACACAATGGGAAAGATGCCACAATTTTGAAACAATGACAACAAGAACGAATAAATTTTGATTCATCCCCAAATGGGTCTGAAAATTATTTAAAACCATCACCCTGTCAAAGGATTGGCGAAAAGACAGACTTCAAAGAAATAAGGCTTCAATGGTTAATAACTCGAGATTCTAAATTCAAATCTTTTAGTTGGCTCAATGCATGTGACTTAAACTGTTATCTGTTATTTGAGGAAAAAAAATGAGCATCATATCAAAAACAGATCGAATAGTTTGCAAACGGGTGCAGAGAGAAAGATGAAGGGTCTGTCACTCAATTGCCAATCATGCAAAAAAGAGGTATTGATAAATCTCCAATTATGCTGGAAAGACAAAATTCAATACTTAAAAGGGATGACTGGCAATCCCTTCTTTTCTCCTACATCATCAAAACGTCAACATTCTGATCTTTCCCTGCAATGCCTTCACTCCCACAAATAACTCATCAAATGAGTAAAACCCTAATGTTTATTTCGTGTGGTTAAAAATGTATGTCAGGAATTTGGATCAGCACCATCAATAATCCATGCCACCCATACCACCACCCATTGCTGGAGCTTCCTTCTCATCCTTCGGTATTTCAACCACGACAGCTTCAGTGGTTGTCATTAGAGATGCCACACTGCATGCATTGTGATTCGAATGCTCATCAGAATATATACTAAATATACAACCTAGTTAAGAAACAGAAACATTTGAATCGGTGGCTTCAACTCACCTTGCTGCATCAACCAAGGCTGTTCTTATTACTTTTAGTGGGTCGATAATTCCGGTTTTAACCATATCAACATATTCACCTGTTTGAGCAACAGAAACAGAGTTGACTAGTTCAGTACAAACCAAAAACAATGGCTTACTCAGTTTTGTGAAAGAAATAATAATGATTCAGAAGAGACCTTTGGCTGCATCGTAACCGTGATCAGGGTCATCCTGCTCCAACAGCTTGCCAACAACAACAGCCCCCTCTACCCCAGCATTGGAGGCAATTGTATGAACTGGTGTCTGCAATTACAAAATACAAGAGATACGAGTGCTAGGGGGAGTTTTTCACAATTATGCAACACAATCATTGAGGCACTAAGAATCCAAAAGTGTGTTCAGATTTCCACAAACTACAAGCACCTTAATATGCTAGTTCTAGAGTGAATTTCAAACCTTTAGGGCATTCTGAATAATTTGAACACCTATCTTCAGATCAAAGTTGGCTGTTGGCAGCTTTTCCAATTCTTTTGATGCATATAGAATGGCAACACCACCACCTGCATCCAAAGAACTCATCGCCTATCTGCTAATTCCCAAAGATTATGCAGGACAATAAATTTAAAACAAAATTACCTGGTACAATTCCTTCCTCTACAGCTGCCTTAGTGGCATTTAGAGCATCTGTAACTCTATCCTTCTTTTCACCAACTTCAGCCTCACTAGCTCCTCCAATCTGCAAAGAAGAAATCAGTTTCAATTATTGAACGTGTAATGAGAGTAACAAATTGAGTTGCATGTGTTGACTACAAGATTGGAAACTCGGCTNTCAGCCTCACTAGCTCCTCCAATCTGCAAAGAAGAAATCAGTTTCAATTATTGAACAAATTGAGTTGCATGTGTTGACTACAAGATTGGAAACTCGGCTAGACCGAAGTAGCAATCATCGTCGTAATTTTTAACAAGATTCAAGGACAAAATTGCACATGGGAGACAGAGCAGACCTTCAACACAGCGACACCACCTGAAAGCTTAGCCAATCTTTCTTGCAACTTCTCCTTGTCATAATCAGAGGTGCTCAATTCGATTGTTGACCTTATCTGTAAATATAAATTGCAGACGATACAAATCAAGTCACGAAGTGAAGACGTGCATCTAGATTCAGTTTGTGAAATGCCTCTGAATCAATCATAGTCAACTAATCAAGAATGCTTCCAAAATTGACTTTTTTTTCTCAACAGTATGTATATGGGGAGACGGTAGCCAATAGGTCAATGGTGAATGTTCACAAGAAAGCAAAACAAACCTGTTCACATCTTTCCTCTAAGGCCTTCTTATCAGCAGCGCCATCAAGAACAATAGTGTCATCCTTGGATATTGTGGCCTAGAACAAGAACATTGTCAAACAATACTATCTGATGAGAAAAAACTGGTGTGCAGCATCTACATTCCTGTAGATTCTGAACAAATATGTATTTATCATTGAAACAATATCACACCAGTACACTGGAGACAAATCCAGTGACGAATATGCATGCCTTTAAAGCTAACCTTTTTACAGGTGCCAAGCATATCCAACTCCACATTATCGAGGTTCATACCAAGTTCCTCAGTTATAAGCTGTAATTCAGAAGTGAAATCCATCATATAAAGTGTCAAACAACGAATAGAATATTCTAGTACATTAATCCAACAATGGACCCACTTGGCCTCCCGTAAGAACAGCAAGATCCTGTAGACTGGCCTTCCTATTTTCTCCAAAGCCTGGAGCTTTTATGGCACAAACCTGCCAAAATGCAGAAAATCAACAGGATGTAACAACTACACAGAGAGAAACCATTACAGCAAAACAAAGCACTAAAATGCCTGGCAAAGTAACACACAGAACCTTGATTCCAGCACGAAGCTTATTAAGAATTAGAGTTGCAAGGGCATCACTTTCCACATCTTCCGCTACAATTAGGAGAGGCCTTTGTCTCTGAAATGGTATGATAAAATTGTATTGATTAGATGACTGCACTGCAAACTCAAAAGACAATGATTTTATAAAACCCTATCCAAATTAACAAGATCAATCTGAGAAACAGATTACCTTCAATGCCAACTCCAGTACTTTAACAATAGCAGTTATACTTGAGATTTTCTTCTCATGGATCAGAATGAGAGGGTCATCCAATTCCTGCCAGAAACCAGGAACATATCAACCAGAATGAATTTTAAGATACTGCAGAACATAATACTGGAGGCAATACACAGATGTACTGGGCTGTTGAATCAGAACAAAGCAAGAGGGCTTACGCATTTCTGGTTCTTCTGGTTGGTGATAAAATATGGGGATATGTAGCCCCTGTCCAACTTAATTCCTTCAACAACTTCCAATTCGTTATACAAAGTCTTTCCATCCTGCAACAGTGCANGCATTTCTGGTTCTTCTGGTTGGTGATAAAATATGGGGATATGTAGCCCCTGTCCAGCTTAATTCCTTCAACAACTTCCAATTCGTTATACAAAGTCTTTCCATCCTGCAACAGTGCAATGAAGAATCAGACCAACACATTTTTAGCATAACCCTTAAGAGCGTGCCAACGACCAATGATTAGGCCAAATCAATACAACCAGCAACAGTGTTTGATGACCTTTAATCAAGACTTGCAGAGAGCTATAAAATGTGTTACAACCTCTTGTGAAGTATATTGAAGCACTGACTAAAATCCATTATGGTCACAGCTTTCTAATATTATGTTCCCTGGGCACAATCAAACATCGAATGGAAAATTTCACCCAATTAACTCATTTCAAAAGTTATTGGAAATTTTACAAATAGAATCAGAGTAATTTTCTGTATATCATTAAGATGCCAAAGTGTCTTGCTTTCTGGCAGTCCATTCATATGTTATTCTCCTGTAGGTCCAGCCAAAGCATTTGATAGAAGGTCACGAAAGGCTAGCTTTGAGATCCACAGAAATAAGAACCTCAAAAAAAGGGAAAGATACACACACCTAAATTATAATGAGATCTTACTTGAATTGTGATAACTCCCTCTTTGCCAACTTTCTCCATAGCCTTTGCAATCAGCTCGCCGATTTCTCTATCTCCGTTTGCAGATATTGTACCAACCTATAAAACTCTTAACCATATCAGTCCCACTCTCACTGTTTGTTAGTATGGCTTTTAGCATTGATGTATTATGCCGGGAATTGGTAATAGTTTTTTCCCCTTTTTTTTCAAATGGCTATGGTACGTATAAGACTTACAGAGAGACACCACATTAACGTGGATTGGATTATTAACCTCCAACTTCCAAACTGAGGTCACTTGATGAGCCTCCAAATGCCTCTAAACCAAATAGGTATCAGCAAGTTATACTATGTTTAATAACTCAAACCTAGTAAACAAACCTGCGCTATTTCTTCTGATGTGCTGATCATCCGAGCTCTGCTCTTCAAGTTTGCTACCACAGCATCAACAGCCATGGTGATACCGCGTCTGAGGTCCATTGCATTCATACCTGCTGCCACTGACTTGCAACCTTCAGTTAATATCGCACGGGTAAGGATTGTAGCACAAGTAGTACCTGGAAACATATGGAAACCATTTTATCAATATACTTCCGATATATCATCATATAAATCAGGGAAGTTCTTAGGCAAAAGCCATTAGCACAACGGTTTAATCATCACACAAAGTATGTGTGAATTATAACTTACCATCACCAGCCACATCATTGGTAGCATTTGCTACCTGTTTCACAAGGCTTGCACCAATATTCATTATTTTGTCCTTGAATTCAATGCTCTTTGCAACAGTTACACCATCTTTTGTCACTTTGGGAGCACCCCAGCTTTGTTCAATCACCACATTACGGCCCTTAACAAGTCAAAATCCAGAAATAACAATCATCAGCTATCCTAATTAACCCATCATTAAAAGATTAACATGTAAGAGGCAAAAAAATCATTTCTGTAGATGCTCCTCGCATCAAAAAGACCAAGAAATATAGATAACCATAAGACTAGGGCTGCTTAGCCACCCCACAAGTAAGCACACCTCTAACCATCTAGTCCAAGTTCAAAGCCAGCTCACATTACTTCGAAGTAAAATTACTTTCGTTTACACCTTTTTCCAGAAAGAAGAAACGGACATAGGGTCACCTCTATCTACCGAACGCAATAAATCTCAACCCCTGCAACTTAACCAGACTATGTTCAGTAGACCGAGTCTCAAGGATGGAGGAGACCAACAAAAATGAAAAAATTATAAGACTCTCTCTATCCTCTATCCTCTCCCCCCCCCCCTTTTTTCTTTCCCCCCCTGCAGGGGGAATAGTATGCAAAGTCACAAACCTTTTAAAAGAGATCAGTAACTAGCCATTATTTCTGATCATACTCGAACAACAACAATAAGCTTGAACTAATGCAGTGCAAATAACCACTTCAAATTGAATCTAAACTTTTGTGAACACAAAATAACGCTATAAGAAACAGATCTTACATCATAAAAACAAGCCATAACATATTCAATCCCAAGTATTATTTCTAATTCAATGAATAGGTCATAATAATTGGTAAATAGGGCAATGAGAGCACCTTTGGGCCCATAGTCACTTTAACTGCATCAGCAAGCTCTTCCACGCCCCTAAGCATCAATGNGGCAATGAGAGCACCTTTGGGCCCATAGTCACTTTAACTGCATCAGCAAGCTCTTCAACGCCTCTAAGCATCAAAGNCTCCAACGGTAAGGAAAACTTGTAGTTAAGTACTATTGGGTGGAAATGTATTGTGTCTAGTTACAATTATTAAATCACTAAATTATAAGTGTTGGAAAACTTGTGAGTAGGTAACTTATGGATTACTTATTTGTGGGGCAATACCCTAAAAAAAATGTATTGTAGTTAAGTACTATTGGGTGGAAATGTATTGTGTCTAGTTACACAATCAAAGTTTTTTAAATATTTTTTTTATTGAAATGCCCTTTTTCATAATTTATAGACTGTGCATTTTGAAAGTTACTTCTTTCATGGGATTTGNGCCCGAGCGTCCACTCCAAATCTAATGTCTTTAGCCGCATAGTTTCTGCTCCAACTCACCCTACTACCAATCTGCACTAACCCACCAAACCCAGAATAAATCAATAGGAATATGCACACACACACACATACACCCATATATATAGAGAGAGTTACATTCTGAAACTGAAAGTGAATCAGTAATCCACAAGAAAAACAGTGATAATTACCTGTTGGGTGCTGTTTTTAGCAACCCTGCATAACAAACAAAAGTAGGCTTAGGATTAGAATAAGATCACAAAATGTTGACAGATCAACATTGAACTGTACCCAATAAAGAAAAAAAGTGAAAAGTGCGGGGAGAGACACGGGTCAGAGTACCTAGCTTTGGAGGCAAGATTTGCCGCAAAACGGTACATACTGTCGGACGGCTGAAATTGGTGTGAGAGAGAGAGACGGAGCAGAGGTTGGGGAGTTGAGTTTCTAGTAGGCACGGAAGGGCACTGCGGAGGTGGTGGAGTACAGTGGCTTGGTGTGATTATTTAGAGGAGAAATAGAAGGGTCTAGAAGAAGCCTTCTAGGGTTTTAGTTTATGAACTAGGAAGGGTTTACGATTTTTTATTATTAAGTAATTTAAGTGGCTTATTGCTCAAGAAAAAAATTATGTGAAAAATTAATTAAAAGAATAAATGGAAGAAGTTTATTATTGCCAAAAGAAAATGGATTATGGACTTGCACTTTTTGATTAAGGAGTGCTAATTGTCGTAGTTTGAATATGCTCTACTGAATTTAATCATAAATAGTCAATCTTGATTCGAGTCAAATTTAACGGTGAAGCTTAAATTCTTGCCCAAATTTAATTTAATAAAAAAATAAACTCCCAAAAATTTTCAAAAAACTATAGAAAAAGCTTAATAATCAAATCATGAAACCCAAAAAAACTCTCATGATCCATTTGGTTTTGGTAGAGTGTATGAAAAAATAGAATGATGAAAAGTAGGAATATGATAGTTTTCTATCTTTTAAGGATTGAATCATTATTTCTCTCTTTTATGTTTAGTAAGAGTGATGAAAAATAGTAATGATTGATTTTTTTGTATTCGAGTTATTTTTCGTGTCTGAATGTACGAAATGTTAAAAAAATAGTCAACGATAAATATATTTATATTTATATCTAAAATAAAAATAAAAAAAATAAAAGAGAGAGAAAGAAATTTAAACATTGGTTGTGATGGGAGTGAGCATTGGTAGTGGTGGTGGGCGGCAATGGTGGTTGTGAAAGATGGTGATGGTTATGGTGGGTGATTATGATGGCACCGTAAGTGGCAACAGTGATGGTGATGGTGAGATAGTGGAGGTGGTGGTGGTAAGGATGATAGTGGCGATGGTGGGTGGCGACAGCGGTGGTTGTAGTAGGGATGGTGGGGGTAGGGGGGATAGTGGTGGGGGGATAGTGGTGGGGTGACAACGGTAGTGGTGGTGATGGTCGTGGGTGTGGGTGTGGGGCCGGTGAGGGGGGTGGTATTGGTAGGGTGGCGACAGTGATGATGACGATGATAGTGGTGATAATGATGATAGTAGTGGACGTGGTGGCAGCGGTGGAGTGGCGACAGTAACGGTGGTGGCGGTGGTAGTCGTTGTGGAAGAGGCGATGGTGGTGGTCAGGTGATAGTGGTAGGCATAGTTGTGATGGTGGTGGTGGTGGTAAGACGGTTCTAAACACTATTTTTTATTTTTAAAATACTTATGAAAAGTTATAAATTATACAAACAATTTTGAAAGGTCACCATAAACACACCCTTATAAATCTATTTTTCTTATTAAATTTGGAGTGTTAATATTAGTCACTAAATTAACTTTAAATTAAAATTTAAAGAGATTTTAATCACAAAAAATAAAAGTCATTTTGTTTATCTTTTCAAATATTATATTGTATTTTATTATATAAATATTTTATCATTATATCTATATATGAAATTAATGTATACATAATATATAATTGATAAATATGATATATGTATATATCAAATGATATATAAACAAATAACATATATTTCAATACACGTAATTATTTTTTCATCCACGATTTCTCTTAATTTTGTAGGAATTGATTTTGATGAGTTAGAAGAAAAACTTATTCATCTATTTTTTCATCATTCTTATTTTTCTTCTTTTTCAAATATCATGTTTTATCTATCCCTCAACTTTTCAGCTTTCTATTTTTTCATCGTACCAAACGAAACATCAAAGTCCATCCAATTGACTTTAAAATCCAATGTTATAATTATTAATTAAAACAATTGTATATGGAAAAGAGAACATCAAAAGTGAATATGATCAAAAATTATGTAAAAATAAACTTGAGGTTGTTTATCTTTCGAATAGAGTTTGCAGTTAATTACAAAATGTCCCTTTGAATTTGTGTCTTATCTAAATCAGGTCTAGTTTAAAATTAAACAATTTGTCCCCTTAATGTTCCAAAATTAGCAAGTTAATTGATGAATTAGACAAAAACTTTAAAATTACTTTTCTACCATTAGCCTTTAAAATTACTTTTGTACCCTTAGCCTTTATTCATATCAAACCTATGTAAACAAATAGTGGTTTGACCCTCACAAGGAACCCACCCCTATGAGTGTTAGACAACCATCAAACTCTCTCAAGGTAGAAAATTTTTTAACACTCTGCAATACACATTTGAGTGTAATTCACCTTTATCGCACTCACCAATATAAGAGATAATTTTATACTTTTTTCACAAAGTCCATGAATACCACAATCCATAATTTTACAATTCTCAAGTAAATAATGGTTAAAGCAAAACATGTAAGAGATCGTAAAAAGAAACGTTCATGTTTGCAATATTCAAGCTCTAGGGTTTTAATCAAGAATATATAATTTTTGGATATAAAACATATATTTTAGATGCAGATCATGTGTTTATTCAATAATTTAAGCATATATTAAAAAAATAATGTAAAACGGTGTAGATCTATCACATATATAAAATATGAGTTTAGAACTATGTTTTTAAACCAAGAACAAATTGATCTAGCTATAATCTCAATTAATGAGTTTGAGAAAGAACTATTAACTTAATTTTCATAAATCTTGATCCTAATGTGTTGTGTTGTGATTTCTACGTGTTAAACCTTCGCGTTTTATTTCGTTCTTTCTCTTTTTATTGTTCTTAGACTTTTCTAGGCTTATTGTTGTTGAAAAATAGGTAAAGACACTTGATACTATGACCCTAGGGTATTTATACGGTGAAAAATGGAGAAAACCTCAAAATCTGATCGGACCGTTTTTTAGCGATGTGTTCAAATGCCACCACTTCTCTGTTTTTACTTTAAATTTGGCTCAATTCTAACTTTTGGTTAGGTGTTCGAACTTTGGTGTTGGCGTTCGAATTCCAATGACTTTTTGTCCTAACTTTCGGCTCGATTTTGACCTAATTAGAAATCGATTTAAAATTTTTTTAAGAAATACACTTTTTATAGCCTTTTAAATTTAGTTTCTACTGCCAAAAATCAGATTAATTGGATATCAGAGTAAAAATTTATGACCCAAATACTAAGATAATATCAAATTCTTTCATACCCAAATTCTCTCAAAGATGCGTTTCAACTTCAGAATATTTTCAAAATTTTAATACACTTTTCAAAATTCTAATATAACCTAGGTTACAAATTGGTTGGTCCAAAATCTAACGTGATGATTTGAGATGTGAGAAAGTAAACATAACATAGCTTAAAATCATGAAAAAATCTAAAATTCTTAGAAAAAGTGCCAAGTGTAGTGGTGGACCATTTCCTTCAATCTTCTTTGAAGTTCTTCCACAATGGGAGCCACATAAATCCCTACTACTCAAAACATCAAAAGCACAATTTACAGCAATAGAAATTGAGTACAAATGTTAGCATAAATCAATGCTATCTAGATTAATGGATCTAGGGAATGTTAGATTTGAAACCTCCACTACTCTAAACCCAGCTAATGAAGACACCTAGTGCGTGTCGCTGGGTGGGTTGTGTGGAGGGGAGTAGAGTGGGGTTTGGGGCAAAAGGCTTTTGGGGAGGGTCGTTAAATGTGTGTGTGTGTGAGAGAGAGAGAGAGAGAGAGAGAGAGAAAGGGCATAGAAGAAGTGGGGGTAAGATGGGGGTTAGTGTGTGTTTTTGTGGGTGTGTGTATGAGAGAGAGAGATCAAGGATACCTTGGAGGGGTTAGCAGTGGCGGTGGTGCTCGTGATGTTGCTGGGCATAACAGGAAGAGAGAGAGAGATAGAGTAAGGACTGAGGGAGGAAACAAACAATAAAAAAACAGAAGAAACAGAAGATATGATTATGAGGAGAGGCATGGCTTGTCAGACAGAAGGGAGGGAAAAAAAAAAAAAGAGACGGAGGAGAGGCGACATATTTGGCCAGTGAAGTGACTGAGAAGAGGTCTGATTTTGAAAAAAAAGATATGAGCAAAAAGTAATGAATGAATCTGGGGGAATGAGAGAAATATTTATAGCCGTCAGATGAATGAATTTGAGATCGTATGATGAATTCGTTGAAATCATCATATTTTATATTATAGATATACAATTATAATAAGTGATATAACTCAATAAAATGAGCAACTTGTCCACATTAT